CCAATCACAACTTAACTACCTAAACAAAACCCACACTAATCAATATGTTTTTTCTGCTGTCTGTATTTTCACATTAAAGAAAGTTTGCGACATCACTGACACAAAGACACCATTCTTTGTGTCATGGAAAACAGTGGAAGTGCAAAGAACTCACGTTTTCATTTATTTAACAAAAATATATATACATCAATAGAGAAGTGTGTTTCTAAAAAAACAATTCAAAAGAGAAACAGTATGTAGTGTTTCCTAACCAATACAATGAGAATGCTCGTTCAGAGGTGGCGTGTGTTGGTAGGGAGTCAATGTGAGTCACGAGTGCCTCTGGGAGCTATAAATGGATGAAGAACATTCTTGAAATCTGAGGAGTAAACTGAGAGAAAAGGTCGAATGAAAGAGTGAGAATAGTTGGAGATTTAGTCGAAATATAAATAAGCCAGTCCTGTACCTTAGAGTGAGATAGGTGAGTGAGTGTACTTTACCGCCTGCTGAGGGTGAAGCATTCCTGAGTTACCAAGGGACGCAGCTTGGTGTCACTGTTGGAAATGGACAGCAGACCATGCTGCTACCAGAAGCACTGAGCGTTTGAGAGTGTGTGCACCATGATTAGCACACACTCCAGAGGATAAAACAAAAGCACAGATTCTACTCAGAAAATATGAAACACTGTTAGTCAAAGTACAGCTTCCACCATCTATAAAAACACTCCCAACGATCAAATAAGCATTCCAGTTACAACATGGTCTCCAGCTTCTTCCTTATTCTTCACTTTATAACTCCAGTCTGAAAACAACCTCTCCTCCACCCACTCTGTAGCGAGTGCGAGGCTGTCAATCAGTCGTTCCGGAACTATCTTTCCCTTATTTGCTGTTTATTAGCAACTATATCAATAATAATTAATTAAAAAGTGCCACTTTTTTTTAATCTGTAAATCAACACAAAAAAAAAAAAAGAAATATAAAAGAAAAACTAATCACCACAACCCCTCTCTTCATGTTCATTCCTATCCTCTTTTTACCCGAATCAACCGAAAGATTGCTGATAATCGTCATCATGATACCCAGAATCTCTTGCTGGGATTTTAGGATTTGTTTCACTTGCTTCATACTACAGATCTAACCATGACTCAATAATCACAACAATTTCTGCACCATACAATAACACACCAACGGGAGCTCATTTATAATCCAACCCATACACCATGTCCCACCTGGACTGTGTTTATGCGTTTGTGTGGAAGCTCCACCAAATGAAGCACTCCAAACCAACCAACATTGATTGAACTAGGTTATAAAGCCCTCCAATTCTGAGACTCCACCATCTAAAATGGACAAGACGGGACAAATCATCAGTTTAAATCGTAGGGTTACAGGTTCCTGTTCCCATTTTAGAAAGGTGAATGTACCATAAAGCTTGCAGCTACATTTCCACCTTTCCCCTTTATTAAAAGACCCATCAGCAGCTGCTGGGTTGAGTGGGTTGGTGTAGGGGCTGGACAGGAATCAGGTTAAAGTCTTTCTGCAGCAGGATACAGGCTACTTTCTTCCTCCTCCTGCGGGCAGCAACCGTTACCTCATCGTCTCGAACCACCGGAGACGGCAGCTCACTCTGAGCCCTGAAGGACAAGATGAAGCACAAGAAAGCACCTTACCTAGAGAATTATAAACATATTAATGTATGTGCAGTTCAGAGGCTTTTACATCACTGAATTTACATCTTTTTTTCTTTCTCTGTTCTCTTTAGGGGTTGCGATATTAGATCATCTCCCTACCCATCATCCTTTCCCAAAAATTCTCCTCTCCAAGTCCACTTTTACACCATCCGTGAATCTCCAGAGACCATCCTCAACATCCTTTGTCGAATATATGCACCATCCCTCCTCTGCACATGTTCAAACCATCTCAGCCCGAGCTGTCCTTGCATCTAATCCTGTCCATCCTGGTCACTTCAGCTTGACAACCTATGTGCCACCGTCTCCAAACCATACATTTTGGCAGGTCTCACTAAGATCCTGTAAACCTGCCCTTTCGTGAAGCCATATTGCTTCTTGCTTTTTAATCACCTCACTTCTTAGCTTCAGCATCTCTTTCCCCAGAGCTTCATGGTATGGCTCATCATCTTTATCTCTCTGTAGCTGCCACAGCTCTGGACATCAACCTTGTTCTTGACATTATATGTAAATCTTTAAATTACTAGAAGCAGTCAAAAGAAGACAAAAGACAATTTAATTTTCTAATCACTTGTCAAAGGTTACTGTTAGGTTCAACACAAAAAGCCGTGGCACTTCCCGACGTTCTCTTTAAAAAACAATTTTAGTCACTGGCTTTAACTGTGCCTAAACTAACAAGAAGCGTCACAGTTCTATGTGAACCCATGCAATGTAAATAAAACAACTACAGCAAACAATTTTGCCACGATATATATAGCCGAGAGCATATCAAAAGTTAGTACTCATAAAACAACAACATACTGCAATCTTTATAACACTTAACGTAGTTCAGTTATAACCTCGTAAATCTATCTTTACGTAATACTTCCCTAATTGCAGTAGTTCTTCCAAAATACTGGCTGCTAACAGCTCTACTAAACCACTAGTTCTTATTTTATTCACCCTAGAAAGCAGCTCTTGTTACCGACTGTCAACTGTACCAAAACCAGAGCATTTAGCCGGTTAGCATCGCCACTCACTGTGAACGGCAGCATTAGCGCTGTTAGCATTGTTAACGTTAGCTAGCAAAGTTGAAGTCCCTGAATTTAGCACACTCGCGGACTAAATAAAAGGCCAATGGTCTGTAATCACCAGACACATGCCCAACTAACCATACATAAGAGTAAAATGTGTATAACTGCTGAATAACGCTTAAAAATAATGTTTTTACCAGTCCATAGCGGTGAGTTGTCAGTTCCCGCTTCACGAGGTTTAACGGGGCTGCTTCTTCTACATCTTTTCAATTCTCAGCAGACTGCGTCTCTTAATTCACACTGCTGCCCCCACGAGTTGTAATTAGATTGCATCCAGCCTTGTATATGTTTCCACTGTTTTTTTGTAAACTTAAGTGTTTTATTAATCATAGAAAAAAAAATCTAAATCTGATTACGTCCAAATCTATTGAATCACTAAAAGAGAACCTGTCTGATGTAAGCTAAAAGATCTCAAAGCAACACATAATGCCACGATATAAAGAAATGAATAAGAACCAAAGTCACTGACATCTATCAGTGTAGAAAAGGTTACAAAGATATTTCCAAGTCTTTGGGACTCCAGTGAACCACAGTGACATCTATTATCCACAAAACTTGCAACAGTAGTGAAAATTCCCAGGAGTTGTCAACCAAAAACTCTTCCAAGAGCCCATCAATGACTCATCCAGGAGGTCACAAAAGCCCCTGAACAACATCTAAAGAACTGCAGACCTCACCTTCCCCAGTTAAGTTGAGAGTTTATGATTCAACAATAAGAAAATAGCTGGGCAAAAATGGCGAGTTCCAAGGAGAAAACCACTGACCAAAGACAGGCCAAAGGCTAGTCTCATGTTAGCCAAAACACATCTTGATGATCCCAAAGTCCACAGAATATTTTGGGAAAAATATACTTTTAGAAGGTTTAAGTCCTGTTACACCTCACATAAAACTAACACCACATTTCATAAAAAGACCATCATACTAAACAAGGTTTCACACACACTCCTTCACTTAACTTTGGTTACACAAAACTCTTTCTCTGCGTTCCATGTGCGTATGAAAACAAAGGCACTGCGCATGCGCGTTTTACTCATATTCTATCGCGATATTTCATTTTCCTATCGTTGCCTAACATTATACCGGTATTACCGTGAACGGTATAATATGGCCCAGCCCTAGTTGCTACAATGGAAATTTAAGTACACAGCTTTAATTTCATGTGGTACAGGTTCACTTTAGTTTTGTGCAGGAGCACAGGATGGTCGGGTTGAGATCAATAAGCTACACAAGTCCTGAGAGTTGAGATAAACTCATTAATGGTGCAGGCCGGATCCAGAAGGACCCAAGTTAACTCACCATTTTCATCTTTGAATGATTTACTGTTAAAAATCTAACAAAAAGACAGAAATCATGTAACCCTAATTGCAGCTAATCCATGATTAAATCTGCCGTAGAACAGACACAGACGCAGCCCCACCACACTAACACCAGTGAACATCCAGGGAGTGGACATTGACATAGTGGACTCGTATAGGTACCTGGGTGTTCATTTGAATAATAAACTAGACTGGAGCCACAACACTGATGCTCTTTACAGGAAGGGTCAGAGCAGACTCTACCTGTTGAGGTCATTTGGAGTCCAGGGAGTGCTTTTAAAGACCTATCACTCTGTGGTGGCATCTGTCATTTTTTAGTTTTGTATATTGGAGCATCAGTTTATCAGCAGCTGAGAGGAAGAGGTTGGATAAACGCATTAAGAAGGCCAGCTCTGTTCTGGGATGCACCTGGACCCAGTGCAGGTGGTGGGAGACAGAAGGACTCTGGCCAAAATAACTTCTGTGATGGACAGAGTCTCCCACCCCGTGCATGTAAATGTTGCTGAACTGCAGATCTCCTTCAGTGACAGACTGCTGCATGCTCAATGCACGAAGGAGCGTTTCCGCAGGTCCTTCCTCCCTGCAGCTGTCAAACTGTACAATCAAAACTGCTCCCAGCAAACAGAGGTTTACATCAGCGCTGTAACTTGCACTATTTTATCAATCGATTCACACTTTAACCAGAGTTTGCCTCTTAATTTCATTTAAATCTATTTAATTTAATAACGGTACAGTACTCTGTTTTTGGTAACCATTGTCCTTGATGTAAATTTGTATAAATTGTGTAGGTTTCTGTTCTGTGTCTTGTTTGTATATGTGTCTTTCTTGCTGCTGTTACACCCAAATTTCCCCTTGTGGGACAATTAAAGGATTATTCTATTCTATTCTAGACAACCTGCAAACCCTCATCACTGTAACTCTTTCTTTTGTGTGTGGGTTAGCTACCTGGCTCTGTCGTATGACGGCATCTCTCTGGAAAAGCTGCTCCACTACAACCTTCTCGCTCTCGCTGGGCACCTACAAACACAAACAGGTAATCATTGCAGCTTCCAGAAGACTCAGATTCCTGCTGTGATTGTGTTGTTTACTGAAGCTAGAGCTCTGTAGTTTTAAAAGAGGCCAAAAACAATCCAGAACACGTTACTCACAACCATGTCTGTCATGAGGTCATCCTCCAGCGCCAACTGGACCCGATCTCTACATGAACACATTTGATTGTTGAAAGTTGAGCAGACAGCCAATTAGTTACAGAAAGTGAATCAGTGAATTAGGTACCTGTAGAGCGAGGTGATGAGCCTCCAGGTGCAGTTCTCCTGCTGCAGCAGCCAACGGACGCCAGCTGTTTTACTATTCTGACCCGCTCTGAGCACCACAGACTGCAGCACATCCACCTTAAGGCATGTGACGGAGGACAAGAGAGCATTTAAAATGAGCACAGCACAGCTTTCACACCACATCAAGCAAACTCGCCTACCTTATCCTGGCAGAGTGCCTGATAATCATCCAGTAGCTCAAACACGGCAGAGGAAGAGTGTTTCAGAAAAGCCCCGAGGAACTCTGGGAAAAGACTGGCAGCGGCTTAAAGGAGCAAAAACCGGAGCGTTAGCGGGAACAACAAGACACCTGCAGAGTAACTGGGCATGCTCAGGTAATTTGCTCACCAGCCTCTCCTGGGTCATCCTCCTTTAGGAGAGCTGAGCTGAGGTTCCCGATATCTTCTCTGAAGAAACTCGTGTTCTCCAGACCCGAAACAGGCGACGTGTACATGCTGTTAGTCCAATCACTGTCGTCCAGATTCTACACACACAGAGCATCATTATGGAGTTGGCAATGAGTTCAACATAAATATGATTGTAAGTAATACATCATTAGGTTCAAGCAGAGTTTGACAAAACTGATACACTGAAGGTCTGGAGTATCTGAGCAAGCTAACTGGTCAGCAGCTGGCCTGTTTGGGTTAGTGACGACAGCATTTCCACCAATCACAACTTAACTACCTAAACAAAACCCACACTAATCAATATGTTTTTTCTGCTGTCTGTATTTTCACATTAAAGAAAGTTTGCGACATCACTGACACAAAGACACCATTCTTTGTGTCATGGAAAACAGTGGAAGTGCAAAGAACTCACGTTTTCATTTATTTAACAAAAATATATATACATCAATAGAGAAGTGTGTGTGTCTTACCAGACTGCTGAGTGCGTTTCTGGGCGTGTGTGTGTATCGAGGCGTTCGGCCTCCTGGGGCCAAAATGGATGAAACATCTGGAATTCTGGGAGTAACTGAGAGAAACAGATGAATGAGAAGAGAGTGGAGATTTAGTCAAATATAAATGCCTCTGATACCTGTAGAGTGAGAGTGAGTGAGTGTCTTACCCGCCTGTCTGAAGAGTGAAGCAGGTGTATTCCTGAGCAGGGGCCGGGCTGGTGTCACTGTGGAAATGACAGGGCTGCCGCTACCGGGTGATGGGACTGATAGCAACAGTCAGGAAAACAAGCAGCTTCTACTTTATCAATGAACACTGTAGCAAACAGCTCCACACAACAAAACCCCAGATAAATTAAGCACTTCCAGTCTACTTATGCCACCATACTAAACACAGATGCAGGCGGCAATCAGTCGGTTTATTGCATTAGAAAGGTGAAATAAAATAAAAAAAATCCACTTTTTTTTTAATTTAAAAAAAAAAAAAAAAAAAAAAAAAAAAAAAAAACACAACCCACGATCAAGAAAGATTGCTGATAATCGTCATCATGATACCCAGAATCTCTTGCTGGGATTTTAGGATTTGTTGCACTTGCTTCATACTACAGATCTTAACCATGACTCAATAATCACAACAATTTCTGCACCATACAATAACACACCAACGGGAGCTCATTTATAATCCAACCCATACACCATGTCCCACCTGGACTGTGTTTATGCGTTTGTGTGGAAGCTCCACCAAATGAAGCACTCCAAACCAACCAACATTGATTGAACTAGGTTATAAAGCCCTCCAATTCTGAGACTCCACCATCTAAAATGGACAAGACGGGACAAATCACAGTTTAAATCGTAGGGTTACAGGTTCCTGTTCCCATTTTAGAAAGGTGAATGTACCATAAAGCTTGCAGCTACATTTCCACCTTTCCCCTTTATTAAAAGACCCATCAGCAGCTGCTGGGTTGAGTGGGTTGGTGTAGGGGCTGGACAGGAATCAGGTTAAAGTCTTTCTGCAGCAGGATACAGGCTACTTTCTTCCTCCTCCTGCGGGCAGCAACCGTTACCTCATCGTCTCGAACCACCGGAGACGGCAGCTCACTCTGAGCCCTGAAGGACAAGATGAAGCACAAGAAAGCACCTTACCTAGAGAATTATAAACATATTAATGTATGTGCAGTTCAGAGGCTTTTACATCACTGAATTTACATCTTTTTTTCTTTCTCTGTTCTCTTTAGGGGTTGCGATATTAGATCATCTCCCTACCCATCATCCTTTCCCAAAAATTCTCCTCTCCAAGTCCACTTTTACACCATCCGTGAATCTCCAGAGACCATCCTCAACATCCTTTGTCGAATATATGCACCATCCCTCCTCTGCACATGTTCAAACCATCTCAGCCCGAGCTGTCCTTGCATCTAATCCTGTCCATCCTGGTCACTTCAGCTTGACAACCTATGTGCCACCGTCTCCAAACCATACATTTTGGCAGGTCTCACTAAGATCCTGTAAACCTGCCCTTTCGTGAAGCCATATTGCTTCTTGCTTTTTAATCACCTCACTTCTTAGCTTCAGCATCTCTTTCCCCAGAGCTTCATGGTATGGCTCATCATCTTTATCTCTCTGTAGCTGCCACAGCTCTGGACATCAACCTTGTTCTTGACATTATATGTAAATCTTTAAATTACTAGAAGCAGTCAAAAGAAGACAAAAGACAATTTAATTTTCTAATCACTTGTCAAAGGTTACTGTTAGGTTCAACACAAAAAGCCGTGGCACTTCCCGACGGTTCTCTTTAAAAAACAATTTTAGTCACTGGCTTTAACTGTGCCTAAACTAACAAGAAGCGTCACAGTTCTATGTGAACCCATGCAATGTAAATAAAACAACTACAGCAAACAATTTTGCCACGATATATATAGCCGAGAGCATATCAAAAGTTAGTACTCATAAAACAACAACATACTGCAATCTTTATAACACTTAACGTAGTTCAGTTATAACCTCGTAAATCTATCTTTACGTAATACTTCCCTAATTGCAGTAGTTCTTCCAAAATACTGGCTGCTAACAGCTCTACTAAACCACTAGTTCTTATTTTATTCACCCTAGAAAGCAGCTCTTGTTACCGACTGTCAACTGTACCAAAACCAGAGCATTTAGCCGGTTAGCATCGCCACTCACTGTGAACGGCAGCATTAGCGCTGTTAGCATTGTTAACGTTAGCTAGCAAAGTTGAAGTCCCTGAATTTAGCACACTCGCGGACTAAATAAAAGGCCAATGGTCTGTAATCACCAGACACATGCCCAACTAACCATACATAAGAGTAAAATGTGTATAACTGCTGAATAACGCTTAAAAATAATGTTTTTACCAGTCCATAGCGGTGAGTTGTCAGTTCCCGCTTCACGAGGTTTAACGGGGCTGCTTCTTCTACATCTTTTCAATTCTCAGCAGACTGCGTCTCTTAATTCACACTGCTGCCCCCACGAGTTGTAAT